GGAAAGCAGTATGGAGTTTTCTCAAAAACTTAAAAATTGAACTGCCATTTGACCCAGTGATCCCGCTTCTAGGAATATATCCTAAGAAACCTGAAACACCAGTCACAAAGAACTTATGCACCTCTATTTCATAGCAGTGCAATTTACAATAGCTAAAATCTGGAAATAGCCCAAGTGCCCATCAGTAGATGAGTGGATAAAAAAGCTGTGATACATTTACACCATGGAATACTATGCAGCTGTTAAAAAGAAGGATCTCTTATCCTTTGGGACAGCCTGGAGGGAACTGGAGAGTAATATGCTAAGTGAAATAAGCCAGTCAGAGAAAGACAAGTACCACATGATCTCACTTATATGTGGAATGTAATAAACAAAATAAACTGATGAACAAAATGCATCCAGAGGCATAGAAACATGGAACAGACTGGGGGATCTCAGAGGGAAGGTGGGGATGGGGGAGTGGGCAGGGAGAGGTTAATCAAAGAACTTATATGTTTATAAGCATAAACCATGGACACAGACATTGGTCTAGTGAAGGCCTGGGGGTGGGGTGGATGCTGGCTAGAGGGGATCAATGGGGGTAAAAAGGGGACATCTGTAATATTTTCAACAATAAAGACAAAGAAACTTTAAAAAATAAATAAATAAAACAGGCAATCCAACAGAACTCAGAGCTATTTTTGAATGTGCTATATCTGATTTCACTAGAATAGAAATGTTAAGGAGAATCACATTGTCAAATATCCTTTAAAAAGCTTCACCTGTCATGATGTTTCTGGTCATTTTCCTTCTCTGAGATTTTGATATCTATTTATCTTCTGGAACTATGGTACCTGTACAGTTTTATCAGCAAATAAAAAATCAAATAGGACACTTTTGTGATAGATTGAAAAAAACAAACATCTACTGGCTGCCTCCTGCATGCCCCCAACTGAGGATCAAGCCCGAAACCCAGGCATGCGTCCTGACAGGTAATTGAACCAGCAACCTCTTGGTGCATGAGATGATGCTCAACCAACTTGAGCCACACTGGCCAGGCCGACTGCAGTTCTTATGAAATTCTTATCATGTTTGGTGCTCTTTCTTCATTCTTTTGTGTAGATCCTTATTTTTCTTTGACATTACTTCCTTCTTTCCTGAAGGATTTCCTTTAACATTTCTTTTAGTGCAGGTCTATGGATGACAAATTCTTTCAGAGTTTGTATATCTGGAAAATTTTTTAGTTCACTTCTGTTTTTGAAAGATACTTATACTGGGTCTATGTTGGCAGTTTTGTACATATAACACTGTATTAATTTATGTTGTTTAACATAATAATTTGATATACAGTCAAACCTTGGTTCTTGAATATATCCCACATCAAACAATTTGGTTCTGGACCAAGCTGTTCATAGAAAAAATGTCTCCATTGTTGAACCAAACCAAACTTTGGCCTGACAACCCTTTCATGCTGATACATCAGCATGACAAAAAGCATCTCTCAAGCCATAAACAAAGGAGAGTATGTTAAACCTCGTGTAGTTAAAGTCTCAGGAAATTGTGTTGTGAGTATTTTTGTGTGTTTTTTTTGCTTTTGTTGCTGGCAGAATGGATGATTAGCACAGTATTAAAACAGAGGCCATCAAGAGTGCTAACGTTGCTAAGGGTGTGAAAGAAACAATGAATCACAGGCAACTGAAGAAGCAGAAAAACTGCTGTTGATTTGGATAAAAGAAAAGCAGTTAGCTGGTGACAGCATCTCGGAGACAGTGATATGTGAAAAAGTGAAGATGTTGCATGCTGACTTACTGAAAGACACCCCTGAAATGAGTGCTGAAAGTGATTTAAGGCTAGAAGCGGGTGATTTGGTAATTAAGAAAAGAAGTGTTTGTTTATAGGTTTAGCAGTATATTAGACATGTACTATATATAAGAAAGGTTAAAACAGGGAATCATTTGGGGGTCTGGAACACAATTCAATTTACATTATTTCTTGATTTGATTTTCGAACAAATCACTTCTCAAACAGCCTTCTGGAATGAACTGAGGTTCCACTGTATGTATATATGTACTGTGAAATAATTACCACAATAACTTCAGTTAACATCTATCACCTCACATAACTACACTTTTTTCCCTTATGATAAGAAGTTTTAAAATCAAAGGTTTTGACCTTAAAAGTTGGAATTTTGATTTATCATGTGAGACTTCCCCTCTATCCAGATTTGAGATGAGGAATAAATTTCCCTATATTCTTCAAAGCCAATAAGAGGAGGGTTTTGCTCCTCTCCTTTTCATGGGGTTATGTGCTATTATGGATTTCAACTTTATGTGGAAATCTCAGTTACAATTTCCCATCTCACTCAGGCCCTCGGTCTCATCTCTTGTCCCTCATTGAACATTCATACAGAAGCTTCAGGCTTTTAGGGGCTCTTTTTATCTCCTCAGGACATCTGCAATGTGAGGTCATAAGTATATGCTTTGAGCTTTGTGTTTTCTGTGCTTCTGGCACATGGAAATCTTCCTTTTGTTTCTCTCATGAGCCTACCATTGCATTAAAAAGAGCAACAAAAACAACAAAAAGTGTCATTTTACCATTTCTCTAAGGTGTTTGTGGTGAAATGGTTTCTTCAGTTATCTAGTTGTCAATTTTTATAACCCCCTTGTAGACAAAATGGGAATAAATGAGCTATATTTTGATATAGTTAGATGTATATAAAACAAGTTGGATAAGAGAGACAAAGAATAATGGCATATGAAGAGTAGTTTTTAGTGATAAAATCATTTGTGCATCCACGCAGCCAGTCACTATTTTTAACAAAGATGATATATTTTATGATTATATATTTAAGAAAAACACAAAACTAAGTGAGAGTTAAATGATAACCAGGATTTCAAAATATCTTGATAAGCTAAGATGATGGACTAAATAAAATGAGATGAATAACAGAATGTGAAGTCAAGCATTTAAGCTAAAAACAAACAAACAAACAAAACCCCACAAGAAACAACTTCAAAGGTACAGGAGATGCAGCCTGATAACAACTCAAGTGAGAACTGTTGAGGGGTTGACTTGCCTGTTCTGCATGAGCTCACAGTGTAAAGTGGCTGCCACCCTTGATATTAGAACAGTGCCCAGGAGAAGAAGGAAATACGATTTTGTACTTATCACATTACATGTGTGTATTAGTTATCTATTCTGCAACAAATTACACCTCAAAACTTAGTGGCTTAAAACAGTAAACATTTGTTATTTAAGGACAATTTCTGTGGGTCAGAAATCTTGGTGCCATCTAGGTTGGTGCCTCTGCTGGAAAGGTCTCGCACAGGACAGAATCCAGGTGTGGGCTGTGGGAGCCTGAAAGCCTGACAGAGGGAGTTTCTGACTTCAAGCTCTCTCACACAGCTGCTGACATGATTCGGTTCCTCACAGGCTGCTAAACTGAGGGTTTCAGTTCCTTACTGACTGCTGACATGGCCTCCCCTCAGTTCCTTACCACACGGCTTCTCCTCAAGGCAGCTGGCTTCCACCAGAGCAGGGAAGCAAGAGAGCAGGAGAAGGCGAGCAAGATGGAAGCCCCAGTCTTTTTGTAAACTAATCTCAGAAGTGATATTCAATACTTGCCATATTTTAGGTCCAGCCTACACTCAAGGAGAGGGGTATGAATACCATGAGGCCAAGATCATTAGGAGCCATCTTAGAGGCTGCATACCACAATGTGTCATACTTTTTTAAATGGTCTCAATAGTCCCAACATGATACCCTAGGATTTGTGACCAAGACTATTAAAAAAATCTTTTAAAGAACAAAAACTCAGGTCATGTAAAGGAAAATATAAAATACTTAGGCTAGAAAAGGAATGAAAGGAGAGGCATGAACAGGGGTTAGAATTTTGATGGCTCTTTTAAAATCACTAAAAAGCTGCCATGTGTAAGACAGAGTATACTTAGTTTTTGTAGCTCCAATAGGCTGAGCAAAGACTTATAGGGGAACATTCTAGCACTTAACACATAACTTTATTTCTGACGTTATATCACATAACATTATTACTCTAGCGCTTATCATATATCATTATTATTTTTATAGGAGTTTGAGCCAAAGAGATGATATATGCCAGGGAACAAGATCTCAAATGTTCCTTTATCACATAACATTTTGATGGTCTGTTTACCTGCTTGTATGCTCCACATGATTATAATTTACTTATAGGCAGATACTACATATGTCTTGTTCACTATTATAGTCCTCAGTTATTGGAACAAAGACTAGTACTCAATAAATACTTGATAAGTGACATGTGAAAAAATTAAAGAATAAATCTATAGGTAAATAAAGTTTGGTTCAAAATATAAAACTAAAGAATGTAATTCTTAGCATTTTCCCAAATCAGGATGAGTTGCTACGTTGCTGGAGGTATTACAGGAAATGCTGAATGACCATGCAAAATGAATGAGGTCAAGAGATTTGGATGAAATGAATTCTAAGTGTTAAAGGTCCACTTCCAATATTCTGATCCCATGACACTGGTGGTCTGGATAAAGAAATCCTTAACAAAAATTATCACTGGTACATATGATGGAAACAACCTGTTGAAGATAAAATACAATCACAATTCCCTCACTTAGATAGTATAAACATTCTAACCCTTTTAAAACATTTAACCAATGAAAAGAATCCCAAGTAAAGCACCTCACTCCTAACACTGGCCCCACTTTCCATGCCTGCTGCACTGTTAGGAGCAGCGTGGTACAGTAAGTAGGAAACCAAAGGACAGAGGCTGTGGGTTCTTGAGTCACAGTGACCAGGGCAGGCTCTGCATTTTACCAGCTATAGGACCACAGGCAAGTCTTACCTCTTTAGGCCTAAGCATCTTACCTCCTAAACCTGGGATAACATTAACCTCAAACTGCTGCTGTTTTGTTTCCCTGACTATTTTAAGGTAAGGCCTCTCTCATGGTAGTGGAAGCCAGCAAGAAACATTTCAAAGTTTAGGTAAGTGAAAGCACTGCTCTCATTCCTACCTTGATAGTTTTTCACAGGAGTCATCTTGTTATAATCTTCTGATAAAATAAATTCCTACAAAAAAGAAGAAAAATATTAAGCAAAAGGAAATTCTCTACGTGAATATGTTTCAGTAAAACTAGACTGTATAAAGCAAACATCACAGAATTACATCTAACATTAGTATTTTGCCAATTAATTCTGCATTTTGTACCTCCTTAAAAGTATGATAATCATAACTGTAATTCAATGCAATATCATAATTTTTACCTCACAATTCTGAAGTTGATCTTTTGAGTATGCATGTGAAGAAAACTGGACCAAGTCCAGAGTCATGATCCTGATAAACTCTGAAGATAAACCTGATTCACACTATTTTTCTTTCAATGGTGCCATAGCTGAAAATTTGCAAGGCTCTGGTCAGTGTCCAAATAAATGGCAATCCTCTACTAGAAAAATAAGTATTTTAAAGGTTTTATTTCTAATATTGCTAACTATTTCCCCTTATTAAGAACTTCTAAAGGCTGCATCTTACTGATCCCTGTATCCCCAGGGCATCTGGCACATATATACTCATTGTGGGGATACATAAAAGGTGAGTGAGTATGTTTCACCTGTCATTCACCTCACTTCATCTCATCAGGTAGACATTCTGTAATGTCACTCCATCACAAGAAGAAGTGATTGTACGCCATCACAGTACAATATGATATTTTGAGAACACATTCACACAAATTTTATTACAGTGTAGTTATAATTGTTCTATTTTATTATTAACTATTATTATTAATCTCTTTGGCCTAATTTATAAATTAAATTTTATCATAGGAATGTATACATAGAAAAAAACACAGTATACATAGGGTTCAGTACTATCTGTACTTTCAGGCTTCCACTGGGAGTTTTGGAGCATATTTTCCACAGATAAGGAAGGAATATATTCATTTTCTTTTTCTTTTTTTAAAAATATCTTTATTGATTCAGAGAGAAGAGAGGACGGAGAGAGAGAAACATCAATGATGAGAGAGTCGTCATTAGTCGGCTGCCTCTTGCACACCCCGGACTGGGAATCAAACCCACAACCGGGGCATGTGCCTTGACCTAGAATTGAACTGCAATCTCCTATATCCTGATTTCCTCCTTAAATTAGGAATTATTTAGAAAAAAATCTTATTTATAAGCAGTTATATTTATGGTTATCTTTTTGTTGCTATTTTCTAGTTTTATTGGCTTATATTTAGAAAACATTTTTATTTTTAAAAATTATTAAGATTTTATTCAGTCAAGATATTAATAATTTTGTAAATGTCACAGATATGAGAAAAATGCTTTTTATCCAAAAGTGCTAGACCTATTTGTATATCTATTTAATAAAACTTGATGATAGTTTTCAAATTTTCTCTATTTTTACTTAGTTGCCTACTTAAATTTGAAATTCAGAAAGGTGTACTAAAGAAATGGGCTTTGTTTTTAGTGTTTATTATTCTGATTANTTTCAAATCTTCTCTATTTTTACTTAGTTGCCTACTTAAATTTGAAATTCAGAAAGGTGTACTAAAGAAATGGGCTTTGTTTTTAGTGTTTATTATTCTGATTATAAAAGTAATATGCTTACTGTAGATAAACAAAAACTATGTAAAATATCAAGAAGAAAATTTAGCCCTGCCGGGCGTGGCTCAGCGGTTAAGCGTTGACCTAGGATCCAGGAGATCGGGGTTCAATTCCCGGTCAGAGCACATGCCCGGGTTGCGGGCAGCAGCCGATCAATGACTCTCTCATCATTGATGTTTCTATCTCTCTCTCTCCCTCTCCTTTCCTCTCTCTGAAATCAATAAAGATATACTTTTAAAAATAAATAAATTAATTAATTAATTAAAATATTTTTTTAAAAAAAGAAGAAATTTTAAATTGTCTATAACTCTACGACATAGTGATAATTCCTGTTAATATTTNTTTTAAAAAAAGAAGAAAATTTAAATTGTCTATAACTCTACGACATAGTGATAATTCCTGTTAATATTTTGATTTTTTGCCTTTTCAATCTTTTCTCCTTATATACATTAAAACACATTAAACTGCAATGTAGTACTACTGATGCTGTTTTGTAGTTCTCTTTCTTAACTTAACATTATCACATGACCAGTCTTGGTCATTAAACATTCTTTGAAAACATAAGTTTAAGGGCTACATAATATTTCACTGGATGGCTATGTGAGATCTTACCTAATTAGCTCCTGATCCTAGTATTTTCTAAGATACCAGCTATTATTATTATTATTTTAATGAGATTACCCTTATAATCTTTGTCTGTTTTATGATTACTTTCTTTGGTTTTCTATACATGGAATTATCAATATAAAAGGTACAAATACTTCTAAAGCTCTAGTTACATATTACCATAACTTTTCTAAATAGTCTGTGCCAACTTATGTCACCCTATCATTGTACAAAAGAGCTTATTTTATTCAATTCTAGCCACCATGCATATTTAAAAATTGCTAATACTGCCTGGCCAGGTGTGGCTCAGTAGTTGAACATTGACCTAGGATCCAGGAGATCAAGGTTCGATTCCTGGTCAGGGCACATGCCCGGGTTGCGGGCTTGATCCCCAGTCGGGGGTGTGCAGGAGGGAGCCAATCAATGGCTCTCTCATCATTGATGTTTCTATCTCTCTCCCTCTCTCTCTTACTCTCCCTGAAATCAATAAAGATATATTTAAATAAATAAATAAAATTGCTACTACTTAGATAAAAATAGAATTAAAATTTTTTTAACACTAAAAATGCTTATTAGCCCAGAAATGCAAATTAAAACCACAATGAGATATCGCCTCACACCTGTCAGAATGGCTATCATTAATAAATCCACAAACAAGTGCTGGCAAGGATGTGGGGAAAAGGAAGCCCTTGTGCACTGCTGGTGGGAATGCACACTGGTGCCGCCACTGTGAAAAACAGTATAGAATTTCCTCAAAAAGTTAAAAATGGAACTTTTGACCCAGCAATCCCACTTCTAGGAATGTATCCGAAGAAACCTGAATCACTAATTTGAAAGAATATGCACCCCTATATTCACTGTAGTGTTATTTAGAATAGCTAAGATCTGGAAACAGCTCAAGTGCCCATCAGTAGATGAGTGGATAAAAAAGCTGTGGGACATTTACACCATGGAATAGTACTCAGCTGTCAAAGAAAAAAAAAAGAAAACCTTACCTTTAGTGACAACATGGATGGACCTGGAAATTATTATGCTAAATAAAATAAAGCAGTCAGAGAAAGACAAGTATCACATGATCTCACTTATATGTGGAATCTAATGAACAAAATAATTTAACAAACAAAATAGAAACAGAAGCATAGCTACACAGAGCAGACAGCTATCAGAGGGGAGAGGGGGGTTGGGGAACTGGGTAAAAAAATGTGAAGGAGATTAAGCAAAAAAAAAAAAAGTGTGTGTGTGTGTGTGTGTGTGTATGACACATAGTCATGGACAACAGTATGGTGATAGCCAGAGGGAAAGAGGGGTGGGNCAGCCAGAGGGAAAGAGGGGTGGGGGAAGGTGGAAGTGGGAAAGGAGCAATAAATGGGGATCGAAAGAGACTTGACTTTGGGTGGTGAGTGCATGATGCAGTGTGCAGATGTTTTATTGAGTTGTACATTTGAAACCTGTATAGGGTAACCAATGTCACCCCAATAAATTAAAAAAAAAATAAAAAATAAAAATAAATAAATATTGGCCATAGCAAAAAATGATTCAATCATGAAGAGGGGGGCAAGGGGGGAAATGTGGGNTAGCCAGAGGGAAAGAGGGGTGGGGGAAGGTGGAAATGGGGAAAGGGGCAATAAATGGGGATTGAAAGAGACTTGACTTTGGGTGGTGAGTGCATGATGCAGTGTGCAGATGATGTTTTACTGAGTTGTACATTTGAAACCTGTATGGGGTAACCAATGTCACCCCAATAAATTCAATAAAAAATAAAAATAAATAAATATTGGCCAAAGCAAAAAATGATTCAATCATGAAGAGGGGGGCAAGGGGGGAAATGTGGGACATGTGTCATACTGTCAACAATAAATTTTAAAAATGATTCAATCACTGTAGATATAAAATGTATTATCATAGACGCTATGTGCCTCCTAATCTCTCTTCTTAAAAAAATGTAGTTAGCCCGGCTGGGCATGGCTTAGTGGTTGAACATCGACCTAGGATCCAGGAGATCACAGTTCGATTCCCCATCAGGTTGCAGGCTCAATCCCCAGCTGGGGACATGCAGGAGGCAGCTGATTCTCTCATCATTGATGTTTCTATCTCTCCCTCTACCTTCCTCTCTGAAATCAATAAAGATATATTTTTAAAAATAAATAAAATAAATAAAGACCTGCAGAGAGGGGTCATAAAAATGTTTAAAAAAAAATGTAGCTAGATGATCATTATAATAATCTTTTTTGGCAACAAAAAAGAAAAATCCCACTAAGAATTTTGATTGGAATTGCACTAAACCTTTAAATTCAGAAAGAACTGACAGTTAAAAGTCTTCTTTTATGTATAATTAACAAATTCTTATAATGTTGAATCTTCAACTAAGTTTCACATATTTCTTTTTAAGATCATTTATAGTTTCTTGTTAACGTCTGTAAATGGGATAGTTTTTCTACCACTTGGTAAACTTTGAGTAAAAAGGATAACTTTACAGGTGCTATCTCTGGACTGAAACTGAAAAATAGTGGCCTCACAGTTCTTGGGAGACACACTATGGACCCATTAAAAATCTTGTATGTGACAGATACAGGTAGGGTACTCAGTTACATGGGACATTTAACACAACCCAAAGGCAGAATAAGGTACTAGCCTATTAAGATTTAGAAAGAAAGGAAGAAAGCATGTTTCAGATCAAATTAGGAAACAAAAAGAAAAGAGAGAAANGAGCCTATTAAGATTTAGAAAGAAAGAAAGAAAGAAAGCATGTTTCAGATCAAATTAGGAAACAAAAAGAAAAGAGAGAAAAAAATGTCAAGACTGGTTAAGCTCCAATGTTAAGAGCTGTTAACTGCCAGTGNAAAAATGTCGAGACTGGT